CTTCTTAATCAATTCTTCTCACTCTCATGATCTTCCCAGTGGATCTGTCTGAGGCATCTTCTGCTTGGTCATCTGCCTGATTCATTTTCCACGTCTCGCCCTTATAACAGGGCCGACAGGACCAGCGTCTTCTACAGGTCCAGTTTAGTTCCTGATGATCATCAAGATCTAGACAGAATGAAGACTTGAAGATTTAGACTTTGCTGAGGTAACTGTACCGTCTGTGGTAGGACGTCCTTGGAAAAGGTATCATTCGTAGTGGTTCATGGGAAAAGTAGTTCCTTCACTCATTTAAATACTGATGTTCGCAGTCTGGGACCTTCTTTGTCTCTTTAACATTTTTCTTGCAGATTCAAAAGTTTTTACGGTCATGGTTCATATCGTAGCTGGTTGGATCAGTTCAAGGCTTAAAACTCTTTAAATAAGGTTTTTTGGGAAAGTCAATGGATTAAGAGAAAAGAACCGGAGGCGTGAAAGAAGAAGAGGTCGCAGCTGACTGTCGTTGCTGGTTTAGCTGATGGACTGTTTTAGTCTCTGCCAGCTTTTAAACAGCAGCGTCGGTGCTACTGCTGCTTTAGCGTTGCTCTTTGTCTGTCTGTGGCTGCAGCACAGTAGCTGCTCTGGAACACATGTTGAGGATGTGAGGATCAGACTTCCCTGCATCTCTGGATCATGATCCTGTCTCTGCTGATGGGTCCAGATGGACCTGATCCAGGATCTGAGCTCACTGCAGCTTTCATCCTTCACCTTAAATAACCTTTCTTCTCCGTTCACGCTGGCTGTAGCTTCCAGCTCCTGAAGCATTTACAGACCAGCAGCCTGGAGTGTCTCATCATTTAAACAGTCAACAGCTAATTAAGTGCTAACAGGGCGCTAGCTGTGTGCTAACCTGATGGGTTAGTTTCATGTTGTTTGTCAGGTAGAAAAGAGTGTTAGCTGCTGCAGAATAAGCAGAGGAGGTAAAGACAGGGATCAGTAATGAGTTAAAGTTCTTCTGCAGCAGAGGAAGGAAAGTCAACACGTTGGAGCAGCCTGTGAATAGAAGCTTTATTTCTTCTATATATATGATGTATAATATTGATGAAGGCAGACAGAGCAGCTGGTCTTCAGTTGATCCTACAGTGAAATCATTTTACTGTTAATTTCAGATCTAAAATGACTGTTTTGGTGACGTAAACGTTGTTTTTAACTTTGTTCCATTTAAGATTTTTCACTGGACTTGTACTACTGAGATTTACAGAAGAACTACAAACATGGCGGAGTTGCAGTGTGTGATGGCGGCACGCCTGCTGACACAGAAACAGCAGCTCTGGAGGACTGAACAGGCTGGTGTCCTGTTACCATGGTCACAGAACATCAAACCATTTTTATTTGGTAGATACTAAAACTGGATCTTTTATTGACACGTTGACCACCGAGCTAAAATGTCCCGTTTTCCCCAAAATAAATCTGGTGTCCTGGTGTCCTCATGTGATCTGTCTCAGCAGCACCTTCAGTCACGAACATTTAAACTCCAGCAGCAGAGTCGGAGCCAGAAACCCGTCAGAACCAACACATGTTTGAAATCAAGAAGGAATAAATTCAGACGGACGACAGAAAGAATGTGAACAAACATCTGAGGCGTCCTGCTGCAGCTTCAGCTCTAACAGACCCACATGGATCCTCGTTAACATCCAGTTCAGCAGAGGGTTTCTCTGGTTTCGGGAGGTCCGGGTCTCGGAGCTAATGAGGCTTCAGCCGACGTGTTGATCCGCAGAGTCGCTTCACATCAGATCTGAGATCAGTTCGGCTCTTTGATCAAACAGGATTATTCCTGTTGGAGTCGTGTAAAGAGAAAAGTTTCACTGAGAACCAACACTTTCACACGAAAAACAGACTTTAAACTCAGACGGAAACAAGAAAGACAAATTATTCACTTCCACATGTTCATACAAGAAAGTACACTTAAAAGTACTGCAATATTTCTGTCCTGCGGCAAAAAACTCACAAGAAACACAGGAAAGAAACAGCCGCTGTTACTGTTCATCCTCCGTTTATTATCAGCAGCCAAACATCAGCTGTAAACTAAACTAATATTCAACAATCAGAAACAGACAAATCAGTCAAGACATGAAGTTCAAGATCTCAGCTCAGTCAGACAATAAGAGTCAAAGTTCAAGCCTCACACCTCCGACCTTCATATGTTTAATATCGTTTCATATGTGAACGACCAACGTGCACCTTCATCATGTGAACTTTCCTCTGTGAGCTGAACTTCAGGAATTATCTGTCAGTGAAGAAATCCAAGGAATTCAGAAACACAATTATTTCATCTGTTTTTCTTCCCCTGGCTGCAAACGTGTTCATGCTGCTCAACTAGACATATTAAACCTGTAATTATACATGTTAGTAATACAATAATCATAAAAATACATACTCATATAGTAATAATACATTTTACATTTGATGCAAGATTCAAACCAACAACAGAAAAGCTGAGTAACTTCCATCCATAGGTGTCATTTACACTGGGGACCCTGGGGATGCTGGGGACCCTGGGGACGCTGGGGACACTGGGGACGCTTGGTACACTCGGGATGCTTGGGATGCTTGGGACACTGGGGACGCTTGGTACACTGGGGATGCTTGGTACACTGGGGACGCTGGGGACACTGGGGACGCTGGGGACACTTGGTACACTGGGGACGCTGGGGACGCTTGGTACACTGGGGATGCTTGGTACACTGGGGACGCTGGGGACACTTGGTACACTGGGGACGCTGGGGACACTTGGTACACTGGGGATGCTTGGTACACTGGGGACGCTGGGGACACTGGGGACGCTGGGGACACTTGGTACACTGGGGACGCTGGGGACACTTGGTACACTGGGGATGCTTGGTACACTGGGGACGCTGGGGACACTGGGGACGCTGGGGACACTTGGTACACTGGGGACGCTGGGGACGCTTGGTACACTGGGGATGCTTGGTACACTGGGGACCCTGGGGACCCTGGGGACGCTGGGGACACTTGGTACACTGGGGACGCTGGGGACGCTTGGTACACTGGGGATGCTTGGTACACTGGGGACCCTGGGGACGCTTGGTACACTGGGGATGCTTGGTACACTGGGGACCCTGGGGACGCTTGGTACACTGGGGATGCTTGGTACACTGGGGACGCTGGGGACACTGGGGACGCTGGGGACACTTGGTACACTGGGGACGCTGGGGACGCTTGGTACACTGGGGATGCTTGGTACACTGGGGACGCTGGGGACGCTTGGTACACTGGGGATGCTTGGTACACTGGGGACGCTGGGGATGCTTGGTACACTGGGGATGCTTGGTACACTGGGGACGCTGGGGACGCTGGGGACACTTGGTACACTGGGGACGCTGGGGACGCTTGGTACACTGGGGATGCTTGGTACACTGGGGATGCTTGGTACACTGGGGACGCTGGGGACGCTTGGTACACTGGGGATGCTTGGTACACTGGGGACCCTGGGGACGCTGGGGACACTTGGTACACTGGGGACGCTGGGGACGCTTGGTACACTGGGGATGCTTGGTACACTGGGGACACTGGGGACGCTGGGGACACTTGGTACACTGGGGACGCTGGGGATGCTTGGTACACTGGGGACGCTTGGTACACTGGGGACGCTGGGGACACTTGGTACACTGGGGACGCTGGGGATGCTTGGTACACTGGGGATGCTTGGTACACTGGGGATGCTTGGTACACTGGGGACGCTGGGGACGCTTGGTACACTGGGGATGCTTGGTACACTGGGGACCCTGGGGACGCTGGGGACACTTGGTACACTGGGGACGCTGGGGACGCTTGGTACACTGGGGATGCTTGGTACACTGGGGACCCTGGGGACCCTGGGGACGCTGCTGCATTTCACATTTCTTCAAAATATTGTTAAAAACGACTCAGGTGATCTGGACGAAACCTTCTTTCTGTGGTTATTGATCAGAAATATAAAGCCGGTTATTGATGCTAAATGACATTAAAAGACAAAAGGTTGCGTCCGTGGCGCCGAGCAGCACAGTTGTTGTCAGATGAAAGCGCCGCCGGCCTGTTTGGTGTTTTCCAGTGGGAGTTGTGTGTTCTGGCGGTGGCGGCTGTTCTCAGACCAGCGTCCTGTCCGTTTACTCTGAGCTCAGGTACGAACAAGAAAATCCCTGTTAAGTTTTCTTGTTGCACTTTGTTGTGAGCTGCGACGCCACCGTGCAGAATGTGACGCCGCCGCGCCGAAACCTGCAGCAGAAGAAGAAGAGTGTGTGTTTGTGAGGACGTGTGTGGCGGCGGCAGCTCTGAAGTCGGGGCCAGACGTGGCGGCTCCCACGGGGCCTCTGAGCACTGGGCCGGTCGGGTTTATCTGACCTCTGACCTCTGACAGCGGCAGAGGATGATGGGACGTCGCTCGCCAGAGATCTGTGACACAAAAGAGAAGAAGAAGAAAGGTTTGATTTAAAAGTGAGAACAGAAGGAACAGATCAGAGAAGAAGGAGCAGAGACTATCACTGGGCTCCACCTGTGTGTTCCTGTTGCATGCTGGGAAATGTCAGGGATTCTTCACACCTTTGTTTCTAAAACGTTTCTGGGGTCCAAAAATTCATTCAGCCAATTTTCAGATTTTAAGGGAAATTTTGAACAAATCACTAGATTTTGATAAAGCGTTCTGCAAATGTCTGAAGCCAATAAAACCAAAAAAATTCATCGGACTCTTATCTATGTGCTGGAAAATGGATTTGCGTGATATGCAAATCAGCGCATATTTAATGAGGAAATGCCTCATTTGCATATAAAAAATGAATGGTTATGTTTCCTGTCAGAGTTTCATTGTGATGTGAGGAAAGTTGGTAAAAAGTCTGTTTGACTGGAGCCTCTTTATTCACTGATGAGTAAAAACAGACTCGCTGCACAGATGACATCGCATTCAGTCCGGCCCTCCGTACCGACAGTTACCTGACCCCCTTCCTGTTCTGGACTCTGTGTTTCAGGACTGTGGTCTGCTGGTCCAGCCCGGTCGGTCCTGCGGTCTCCAGCCTTTCATCCAGTCTCAGAGTCCACTTCAGACCTGCAACTCGGGACACGTACCAGGTCTGGTGTCACTTCCTGTCTCTCACATGGGCAGGTTCAGTATCGATCAGCTCCGTCAGACTGTTCAGATTGTGATCAGATTTCACTTTAGAAAATATCTGATTAAGTTAAGACAAACCAAGCTAAGCTAAGCTAAGCTAAGCTAATGTCTGTGAAGGTTCTCAGTCTCCCAGGGCAACTGGACTTGGATGAAAGACCAAGAAATCTTCAACCAAGTCCAGTTGCCCTTGACTTTGACCTTCTTTGGAAAACTTTGAGCTAAGATGAATCTTAGCAGCAGCAGAAGGAACTCCAGGATCACAATAAAAACTGAAAGACAAACTGTAAAATTTCTGTTTCTGTTTGTAAATTGTATATTTTATACTGTCTCACCTGTCTCACCTGTCTCAGGTCGGTGGGTGGTTCCGTGTCTCAGCTGTTCTGATAACAGGACGTGTGATTGGAGGGAGGTTGCCTGGCAACCTGACAGCTGTTATCACCCGCTAGTGGACCGCCCCCTTCTGCAGGACTGTATGACCAACAGGAAGGTGAGGTCGACATGTGGTCCAGCAGGTGGTCCAACATGTGGTCCAACATGTGGTCCAACATGTGGTCCAACATGTGATCTAACATGTGGTCCAACATGTGGTCCAACATGTGGTCCAACATGTGATCTAACATGTGGTCCAACATGTGATCTAATATGTGGTCTAACATGCGGTCTAACATGCGGTCTAACATGCGGTCCAACATGTGATCTAACATGTGGTCCAACATGTGATCTAATATGTGGTCTAACATGTGGTCTAACATGTGGTCCAACATGTGGTCCAATATGAGGTCCAATATGCAGTCTAACATGTGGTCCAGCGGGTGGTCCAACATGTGGTCCAACATGTGGTCCAACATGTGGTCCAACATGTGGTCCAACATGTGATCTAACATGTGGTCCAACATGTGATCTAACATGTGGTCCAACATGTGGTCCAACATGTGGTCCAACATGTGATCTAACATGTGGTCCAACATGTGGTCCAACATGTGGTCCAACATGTGGTCTAACATGTGGTCCAATATGAGGTCCAATATGCGGTCTAACATGTGGTCCAACATGAGGTCTTCCATGTGGTCCAACACGGGACAGGTGTCTTGATGTGTATCACCTGTTGAACATGAACCTTCCCGTCTCTCTTCAGGTTTTGTTTATCGGCGACTCGACCAATCGTGGGATGATGTACTTCCTGATGGAGCGGGTGAACTCCAGCCTGGAGGACTGGGGCAAAGCTCACGACACGCTGGTCTACAGGAACCTGAATGGGGGACGGACCCTCGTCAGCTACTCGTATTATCCTCAGTTCTGGCTGCAGAAGAACCAGAGACCCACGTTCAGACAGGCTCTGCTGCAGCTGCTGGACAGGTGAGAGGACCAGTCCTGATGGGGGGTGGGGGGGGGGGGGTCACACTGTGCTGCTCATGTCCTGATGAGTTTCTCCCCTGAAGGTCACGACCTCTGGTGAACTCAAACCTGACAGTTCTGGTGGTGGGTGGAGTGCAGTGGCTCAACACGGATCACCTGAAGACGGTCCGAGAGGTGCTGAACAGGTGAGCAGGTGCATCTGAGGATCACTGCACTAAACTACCTCACTGATCCAGAATCTGCAGCTCTCATGTTTTTAGACACTATTTAAAAAGCTTAGAGTGCTCTTTTGATTCTACCGTCTCACTCAGCTGATCCTCAGTTAACAGAGCCGAGTAGAATTACAAGGATTAGAGTCCCTGTTTTGTCCGCTGTTAACTTGTTGACAGGGCCCGCTGTCAACCACTTTTACCAGAGTTTGTAGTGTGGACATTCTGGATTTACAGTGATGACTGTATCTAAAGAAGGGTTAGAGTCCCCTTAGCGTTAGAGTCCCTAAGTAACTGAAGGGGGGATAGAGTGGGAGATTCGGAATCAAAGGAGTAAAATGAGCAAAGGTGGGAAAGCCTTTTTTATATTTCCCTGTTGTTTTTATGTTTTATGTAAAGCACTTTGAATGACCTTGTTGCTATACAAATAAACTTGCCTTCACTTGAGACGTCATGTGATTGTGGTCTACAGACGTTTGCTAAATTGCATAAGTGTTGTTTTAAGTTATAACCTGAGTGTGGTTTCTATGACACACGTGGTCACTTTGCCCCTCCCCCCCCCCCAGAGAGTCTCTGGGTGACGTCCTGGTGGTGGTGAAGTCTCTGGGGATGGGTTTCCACCTTCCTGTAGACGGGATCCGGTCTCTCAGTCTGGTATGTTTCTGCTTCCTGCTGCACGTCTGCTTGATTTTATATCAACGCACTCTCACACAATGATCGTTTGTTTGTTTGTTGTGACCTTTCAGAAGGAGATCCAGAAGCTCTACAGGGAGAACCGTAACATCATCACCACAGCAAAGCATTATGGGTACGAGGCAATTGACACATTCAGCATCACAATGGGTCGGTACAAAGAGTTCCTGCAGGGGCGGTGTGGCTGCCACTTTCACGAGGTAACTTTACAGATCAGTAAATAATACAACCCGTTCTCACTTCCAAGTCGTCATATACTGACGCATGTTCAAGACCCGTTGGTGTCAGTTTGTAACGCACTGGGGGAAGCAAGCACAGAGACAGAGTAAGGAGGTGGCTGCGGTGGGCCAGAAACCGGACTTTCAACCAGGACAGGTGTTCATGTAAAACAAAATGTCAACATTGAATGTTTTTAAGTTGCTTAAGTTACACAACTAACGTTTCTTAACTTACGTAAGTAACGTAACCATGATCTTTTTTGAAATCAAACCAAATTGCAACCTGTCGCAACGTTAACATATACTTTTTTTTTAAAGGCTAAACGGACGTTGCTTATTTATTGTTGTTAACTTGAGCCCTACACATTCAAAAACTATACTAATGGGTGCCCATGGCAATAAAAAGCAACACCAAGGGGTCTGACCAAGCATCCGTATGTGTTGAGTTGGAGTGAGAATGTGTTGAATAATATGTTTATGGATCCTCAGAGGAACATATACGAGGAGTCAGGGCTGATGTGGATTTCCTCAAGGTAAGTTTAGGAAACGGTGGTGGACATGTTAGGTTTATGAAAAGGTGGTGGATTGGTTAGGTTTATGAAAAGGTGGTGGATTGGTTAGGTTTATGAAAAGGTGGTGGATTGGTTAGGTTTATGAAAAGGTGGTGGATTGGTTAGGTTTATGAAACGGTGGTGGACATGTTAGGTTTATGAAAAGGTGGTGGTTTGGTTATGTTTATGAAACGGTGGTGGACATGTTAGGTTTATGAAAAGGTGGTGGTTTGGTTAGGTTTATGAAACGGTGGTGGCTTGGTTAGGTTTATGAAAAGGTGGTGGATTGGTTAGGTTTATGAAAAGGTGGTGGTTTGGTTAGGTTTATGAAACGGTGGTGGACATGTTAGGTTTATGAAAAGGTGGTGGTTTGGTTAGGTTTATGAAACGGTGGTGGCTTGGTTAGGTTTATGAAAAGGTGGTGGATTGGTTAGGTTTATGAAAAGGTGGTGGATTGGTTAGGTTTATGAAAAGGTGGTGGTTTGGTTAGGTTTATGAAAAGGTGGTGGATTGGTTAGGTTTATGAAAAGGTGGTGGTTTGGTTAGGTTTATGAAACGGTGGTGGACATGTTAGGTTTATGAAAAGGTGGTGGTTTGGTTAGGTTTATGAAAAGGTGGTGGTTTGGTTAGGTTTATGAAAAGGTGGTGGTTTGGTTAGGTTTATGAAAAGGTGGTGGATTGGTTAGGTTTATGAAAAGGTGGTGGATTGGTTAGGTTTATGAAACGGTGGTGGACATGTTAGGTTTATGAAACGGTGGTGGACATGTTAGGTTTATGAAAAGATGGTGGTTTGGTTAGGTTTATGAAAAGGTGGTGGTTTGGTTAGGTTTATGAAAAGGTGGTGGATTGGTTAGGTTTATGAAAAGATGGTGGTTTGGTTAGGTTTATGAAAAGATGGTGGTTTGGTTAGGTTTATGAAAAGATGGTGGTTTGGTTAGGTTTATGAAAAGGTGGTGGATTGGTTAGGTTTATGAAAAGGTGGTGGATTGGTTAGGTTTATGAAAAGGTGGTGGTTTGGTTAGGTTTATGAAAAGGTGGTGGATTGGTTAGGTTTATGAAAAGGTGGTGGTTTGGTTAGGTTTATGAAAAGGTGGTGGATTGGTTAGGTTTATGAAACGGTGGTGGACATGTTAGGTTTATAAAAAGGTGGTGGTTTGGTTAGGTTTATGAAACGGTGGTGGACATGTTAGGTTTATGAAAAGGTGGTGGTTTGGTTAGGTTTATGAAAAGGTGGTGGATTGGTTAGGTTTATGAAAAGGTGGTGGTTTGGTTAGGTTTATGAAAAGGTGGTGGTTTGGTTAGGTTTATGAAAAGGTGGTGGTTTGGTTAGGTTTATGAAAAGGTGGTGGATTGGTTAGGTTTATGAAAAGGTGGTGGTTTGGTTAGGTTTATGAAAAGGTGGTGGATTGGTTAGGTTTATGAAAAGGTGGTGGTTTGGTTAGGGAAAAGGTAGTGGTTTGGTTAAGTTTATGAAAAGGTGGTGGATTGGGTTAAATTTAGTACATTACATGATGTAAGACCGTAACTTTATTTAACTTAAAACTCTAAACAAGTCTTCCCTGACTTGGTTTCACACCAGATTTGAACCCAGGTCTCAGTGATGAAAGTCTTGCTTCTGTTTGACCCGTCTTTCCACCTCATGATGTGGACTTTGTCGCTCTTTGTACTATGTCACCTGACCTCCTCTTTAGCTCCTTCATAATTACCACGGCAACTAGAGGTCGCCGCCCAGCAGAAGACTGGCCATAATGAGCTGCTCAGTCGACCTGTTCGGACGGTTCTCTGGTGACGACGGCTGCATGCCAGCTCCGCCTAAAGCAACAGCCAATCACATCACTCTGCCCTGTTTGTCTTGATTAACAGATAACGACTTTATTTATTTCATGTTTATAGTTTTGTTCCTGAAGGAAGAATTTTCTTTTTTCATTCTCTCTCTTGGAAAAATGATCAGTCAACGTCCAACATCACTTTACGTAGACGATAGACAAGTTTATATCTCAGAACATCCACTGAGAATCCACAGCACCTAGACCAATCTGAGAAGGTGTTTCTCTAATCGTTAACACGACTCTTAAAACTCCTGAACCTCGTTAACAGATACTGAAACCAGGTGTTGGCAACTCTTCTTCTGCTGTGACAGGTGGAGAAGCTTCAGTCCCCCAGGCCTATAGACGAAACGACGTCCACAACCAACAGAACCAAATCCACCAGACCCGGACCTGGACTCAGCAGCCAATCAGCTGTGCCGGACCCAGACCAAGAGGCATGGCCTAAAGCCTCATCCTATCACGTGAGAGGACCAGTGAACCAGGTGTACTCTGAGATCCTGCTGAGTCGCCTGTGTCCCAAAACCAGAAACTAAACACCTGAGAGTGTGTGTGTGAGAGACTCACCTGTCTCATCCACCTGCAGCAGGCTCTCGTGGTGGGGGGGGGGGCAGATGAATAAAACAGTCAAAAGAAATCTCGAGGGATAAAAAAGACTGAAAGCTGAACATTTTCCTGTTTTTCTTCAGGACTCAGGTGACTGTACACCTGACTGCTTTATCTTCAGCATAAAACGGGCTCTTAAAGTGACACAGCATAACGAAGATACTAACCTTCCAGTGTTTAAGGTCCAAGTCGAAATGATTAAGTATCTGAAACTGTTTCTTTATGTAAAAGAAAAATATAATTTACAATTGTTTCTCCAAACCAACAAGAACTTCTTCTTTTCATTGTGAGACAGATTTCCATCTTTCCTCTAATCTGCTGCAAGTTACTGATGCAAAAACTTTATTTTGTGTACTTAATACTTTTTACTGTGTACTAATTACTTTCCACTGTGAACTAACTACATTCTGATATGTAGTAACTGGTTTATAAAGCGCACTAGGTAGTTTCAATCTTAATTAACTTGTATAATGTGCAGCAATAAGTTTCTCTATAATGTGCTCCTGTTTGTAGTTCACACCTGCTAGTTACCAAAGGCTACCAGCTGCTATGTACTGTGTAACAGTTAGTTTCTAATGCTAACAGTTAGTTTCTAATGCTAACTGTTAGTTTCTAAAGCTAAATACTAATTTCTAATGCTAAATGCTAGTTGTCAATGCTATACAGTTAGTTTCTGATGCTAAACAGTTAGTTTCTGATGCTAAACAGTTAGTTTCTGATGCTAAACAGTTAGTTTCTAATGCTGTTAGTTTCTAATGCTAAATGTTAGTTGTTAATGCTAAACAGTTAGCTTCTAATGCTAACTGTTAGTTTCTAATGCTAACCGTTAGTTGTTAATGCTAAACAGTTAGCTTCTAATGCTAACGGTTAGTATGTAATGCTAACTGTTAGTTTGTAATGCTAACTGTTAGTTGTTAATGCTAAACAGTTAGCTTCTAATGCCAACGGTTAGTTTCTAATGCTAAATGTTAGTTGTTAATGCTAAACAGTTAGCTTCTAATGCTAATGGTTAGTTTGTAATGCTAAATGTTAGTTTGTAATGTTAACATTTATCTTCTAATGCTAACGAACCTCAGCTATTGTAGTGTCCATCAGCTGGTTTCTAATGTACACCAGCTAGTGTTTAATCTGCTCTAACTAATTTAGTGCTACTTTCTTATGTGTAGGGGAGACCGGGGGCAATTGTAACATATTTTACATTTTCCTTAATAACTCACAAACTACTTGAGATACACTCATCATCTTTTGTTTCAAGAAACACATATATGTGAACTAATTAATGATACAATTGATATATTTTCACTTATAAGAACAAGACTAAAATATTTAATTAAATGCAAGAAGTCAGAGTGCGGGGGCAATTGTAACACTGAAAAATAAGTCATATTAATCCACTGCATCTCAAGTAAAAGCCTAGGCTGCCTCAAAGTAATTACTTTACAGCTAATAATGTTACATAAGAGTTTTCAAATGGTTCGAATTATTTTAGGTGTCAGGCTCTCTCTGTTCTAACTTCATAAAATTGCTTTTTACAAGTGAACTAGTCATTCTCTTTGGTTTGCTGGGTCTTATACCATCAACTACTTTAAGTCCACTATACAGACAAACTGACAATGAGAGGAACAGACTTAGACAGTGAAAACTGTTCACAGAGCGCTGTGATCTGTTGTAGAAGCACTCAACAAGTGATGAACGTGCGGCGGGCTGAACGCTCCGCTGCTGAAAGCTTCCAGTGTGGGTTGACGCCGGGCTGAGGACGGGTCAAAACCGTGGCACACACAGGCCGCCTGTATGAGTCCGGGGCAACTGGTCTCTGATGCACACTAGCTAGTTAAGTGCTCACTAGTCAGCTTCTCTGTGCATGGTTAGAAATGAATCTCTCTTCTGATGGAACACTGAAATCAGTCTGTTCTTCTTCTTCTCTCTGTATATTTATGTTTTATACCTCAGTCGCTGACGTTATTGATAAATTCAAACCAAAGAGTCGGTGATAACTGTGTCATCATGTGAAATAAATGTCTTATTTGATGCTCTGCTTATATTTTCTATATTTTTCTACAGATGTATTTTGTGCCTTTTATCTCTAAACATGTTTACATGCTGGAAAATAGAATATATTTATATATGACTGTAATGATTCTCTGATCTTTAATGAAATTGTTTTCCAAAAAGACACAAACGCAATTTCTCAATAACAAATCAACTGTGACGACATGAAATCTGTTTATTATTTGTCTTTATTTCACTCTTCTGTGTCTTTTTACAGTTTGATAAACCCGACAGTTTGATCACCGTTTACTTCCGCCAGGAGGTTAAAATCTCACAAAAGTTAATCAGACGAGCTGGAAGGGAAAGGCATGTTTCCTCTGTGTGAATTGAATTTGTATATATTTGCTGATATTTTTTAATGTAAAAAACAATAAAGGACTTGTTAAAGAAAGAATATTAATAATTAATTGTCGAGTATTAAATGTGTTGAACTTTTCTCCGGAAAAAGCTAAATTAGGTTAACTTAATTTGTTTATTGGTCAAACTGATTAAAAGGTGTTAAATATATATTCTATATTTTCTTTGTAGACTGTAAGTGTTTTAATTTACATGCAACTTAAACTCAAATATCAAATTGAATGATCAAATGTAAATAATAGATAGATAAGCAGGTCATGCAGAATTCAGTCAGGACAGTTTGTTCTGCTAAAGGCAGATTTTTCAACATCTAAAAGTGTTCAATGTAGAAACATCTGAATGGAGTTTGGTGTGAAGTTTCGGGGGCAGTAATCCTTGTTTTATATACTGGGATTAACCTAACACCAAACTCCATTCAAAGATCAAGCAGTTTTGAGTTTTTAATTTTTTGCTTCTCTGACTTAAAGTATCTGGGAAAATCACGGATTAAATCTCAGATTAAATATATTCGGGAAACAGTTTTGTCTTTGTGATCCCTCCGCCAGCCCAATGAGCGTCCAGCTGTGACGTCAGCTGCTGAATATGAATCCCTTGCTCGTCCAATGAGGATCCTCCGGGACTCGGACTGTCCAGTCCAGAACACAAAGTGGACTGGAAGCTGAACAGAGTCCTGCAGGAGGGACTGCATCACATCATCCCAGTCGGAGCTGGACTCTCCTGTGATCCTGTTCCCCGAAGGATCATTACTGCACCGAGACCAGGATTAATGAATGTGCTCCTGGACCGGGTTTTGGTATGATGGGCAGACTGAGAGCGCAGCCCCGCGGCTCAGATAGATGAAGAGGTCATGGAGAGACGGAGCTGTGGAGTCCGACACATGTGCACTCTGACTCTGCTGCTGGTCTCTGTGTGTCCGCTGTGCTGCAGAGCCTCCTGGATGTAAGTAGAGCCTGCTGCTCAAACCAAACCGAACTTCATTATAGAAACGGCCGATTTAAGCGTAAATTTGCTCTTGTATACCGCGCTTCTACCTTCAGGAATAACACTTGGGCCAAAAACAACATAGGCTACTAGTTTCTCACGCTTCCAGTCTTTCCTCTTAAAAACCCGCGGAAGTAAAAAAAAAACAAACAACAAAACTGAATAAGTTTAAAGCCTTTAGAGAAAACGTCGCTTCACAGAAGCAGCTGGAAAAGTCCGTGTTTGTTCATGTCTCCGGTTTTACTCAATAACTTTCGGATATTTAATTTAGCCAATTGGAGGCTTCCTGTGCTCAGACCTCTTAAATATGCCCTTCAAACAATCAACAAATGGTCCATAACAATTCAGAACGTAAGTGTGACTGAGTTCTTGTCATTAATTAAGTCAGTGTGAAGGTTGGATCGTTTGGAGGGGCACCAGAGTCCCCGCTGGGCCCCGCGGAGCCAGCTGGATGCCCGAGCGTCCTCAGCGTCTGCTCATCAGATGCGAGCCGGTTTTACTCAATTAACCTCCAAGATCCAATAAAGCCAAATTCCATTTAAAAGTAAATGTGAGGCGCCTCTGTGTGTGTCATCAGGTGGGCCGCTCCAGATGGGCTTTAGGGCCGAATGGGTCCGCGCGATAATTCAATTAGGCTGTGAGATTTAATAAAACAAAAGTGATGTTTTTAATAAAAATATCACTTTTATAAATAAAATACCAACTTTTCATTTGGGAGCGTTGATCCACCCAGAGGACGACAGACTGAAAGCTGACAGGAGTCCGGCACAAACCGCCGTGTTCGGTGAGCCTGAGCTGACGTGCGCCGGCTGGTTAACCTAACTGGAGATCCGATAAGCCAAATTCCATTTTAGGCCAAACACAGCCTCAAATTAAATCACCACATCAGCTGGAGGCTTTAATGTCCTCCTCTGTTCCACAATCAGGATTCCCCTTAATAATAAAACCCTAGTGAGTCGGTGAAGCATGGATCTGGATCTAAATCTTATAGGACTGCAGACTTTAGGCGACACCCGGGCGGCAGCACGCGCGAAGCCTTCATGAGGTTACAGATTTGAGAAAGAAAAATTCATTAAAAAACAACCAGTTAAGATGTTAATAAGTACAGGCCCGATCCCAGCAGGTAAAACAAATGAAATGTAAAGTAAGATTCTTCTCATCAAATGTCCTCCTGCTTCCTGACCTGCTGGATCCGATCCCTGCAGTCAGACTATTAACATTTTGCATTCTATTAAAATGTCAGATTTGCCATTTAAGGTTTACTTTAATACATTTAATTAAATTTATTATAATTTCATTATTTAAATGATTAATTTCTGAAATCTGCCTGATGTCTTATTGTTTATTTCACTGGCTGACAGAGAAATTTTAAAACCTGAATGTTTCGCACGGAGTTTGGTGCTTAACTAAGAGCCGGCGTTTCCCTGCAGGTGGTTGGGTGTGGCCCCGGCCGGAGTCCCGGAGAAGCTGGGCTGTGCTGCCCTCCCTCTCAGCCACAAGCAGCGGGACCTGTGCCGGAAGAAGCCGTTCCTGCTGCCCAGCATCCAGGACGGAGCCCGGCTCGCCATCGCGGAGTGTCAGAGCCAGTTCAGACACGAGAGGTGGAACTGCTCCACCAGGGAGGACCCGTCCGTGTTCGGATACGAGTCAACGAGCGGTGAGGAGGCTTCCCTGCTCCTGCCTCTCAGAGGGAGAGCTTTGTAATCACTTGATCATTTGATGTGAAGATTTGCTTTTAATTATTTGAAAGTATTTTAATCACTTTGAGGTTTGGACAGAACAAACACTTTGGGCTCTGAGTAACTGGGACAACGTTTATCAATATTTTCAGAATTATTAGGATCAGTGTAATGAAAAAATAATTTTATCATTAACTGCAGTCTGATACGAAATAGTTCAACCTCAACAATCACAGCAGGACAATGAGGAGGAATAATTAGAATGTAATATATAAAAGTACAACAGTCAGTTTCCTTTCTGCTCTGAGTACTTGTACTTTAAATATGATTATACTTACATATTACTGCAGTGAGGTATTAGTAGGGGAGAGTGAGTGTGTTGTAACACTTTCACAACACAAGTCAACCAAATGAGAGAGTGAATCTTGGGCGCACGTTTAGTTTCCCTCACATCTTCAGATCTTACTGGAGACTGGTGAGCTGAGAGTGTGCACGTGGATTATCAAAGAATAAAAATACAACTACTTAATTATGAATATTGATTTGCTATATTAAATTTAAAATTCATACCAGAAGTAAAAATAAAAACAATCAGGACTAGAAAATCTGTAAAATCTGTCAAACAGATTTGCTTTGCACTTTAAAATCGCACGTTCTTTGGTAAGTGAATGGAAAACTGCAGATTACCTGCTTAAATGTTACTTTTCTGTATTTTCTATCACATCTATCACGTCACAGTGTCAGATGCTCATGTGAAATGCAACGCTGCGCTCAGTCTGTCTCTATGGATGTTTTCTGCAGTCTCATTTAGATTCACTGTGTTTGCATCTTGGACCATAGACTGTCTTAAAAAAACATCTCGGACACAAAAGTGACGTTGCTGGTGAATACCGCTCAGCGCAGGGTGACGCATGCGTTCATGCAAAGCTGCCGTACAGGAGTCACAGAGCTACATTATAGGGCTGGAGACGCACTACAGGTCTCCGTTAACCTCTTAACAAACAGGTGTGGTGTTTAAACACTAATGTGCATTTCTACATATGAATTGCCTGAGGTGCAAACGTCGTGGGCCCATTTGTTGCACTTCACACTTCATCCACATCTCCTTCAAAAACACATTTCCTCTATGCAATTACAGATAAATGAGTTTAAATTATTTGTCTCCTCTCCTTGTTGCCAAACTGAATTAATGACTGTATGAAGCAGTGTGTGTGTTCGCTGCTTCGTACAGTGGCTTGAACTCAGCGTTGTGTCGTCCAGAGCTAACTCTGCTGCTGTAAACTGCACTGTCTCTTTACAGTATCAGTTCATGGTGTCAGAGGTAATTACTGTTTATCTGGGATGACTTGCCCCAAACTGACGTGTTCATGTCGGCTGAACCTCGAGGTTAGCTCAAAAGATCACGTCTCCTCTACTTTGTGCAACTTTATCAGTTTGAACATTCATACCAAACAAAGTTGGCTTGCATAAAATGTAAAGTGCAAATCTTTTACCTTTTGAAGCAAAAAATATAAAACGTTGTGCTCACCTCAGAGGAGAGTGACCACATGTGAACAGGAAGTCACACAAAGTGGCTATTAGATTTTTTTCTAGTGTTGGAGGTATGAGCAGAGTGACATCTTACCCCGCTCTCCCCCACCTGAGTGAAGGCTCTGAATACTTTATCCACCTTTTCTCTCTGCTGAGGTAAAAGTGTCAGGTTTGTCCTGATGGTGGCGCCAGAGAGAAAGCTCCTGTTGCAGGTTTATCCCCTGTATGGTGGCCTGTTTAGGACACAGCTCTACTTAGTGAAAAGTAAGCAGCATTTAGAAGAAACAGAAACTTGGATTATTCCAGCAGGACGGAGAAACGACACAGAAACTGAATGAGCTGAGCGCTGTAGTTCCCTTTGTTTCAGAAACTGAACTTTAATCCAGACAGAATCAAATTAAAGAAAAACTTTAATTAAGTTAAACGCAGGAGGATTTCTCCCTGCATAGCTTCAGCATGAAGCACGATGACCTCATGTGTTTTAGAGCTAATTGCATTTTTAGATAATAACTGATGTTAACAGAGATGGACAGTTGATATTTGGCTCTGAAAGAGTCGATCACATGTTTTAAATGAGGATATTAGAGACGTGAGGCTTTAATCTGCAGCTCAGAGTCAGAGTT